CAGGGCTCTTACAACGCCCGGGAGCTGAGCCCAGAGGCAGTCCCCTGCCAGCAGCCAGAGAGGCAGGAGCTCCCTAAGCCAGGGTGCGAGAAGAAGCCTGACCGCAGGTACAGCTTAAGCTGAGTAAAGGATGGCAGCTCTGGGACGTTTGAGCAATGTTGTTATAGCTAGGCAACTTATGTTTATGTTATAGCCAAGAGGCTCGAGTTTCTGTTGTGGTGTTGTTCATTACCGGTGGTTTGGATGAGGCTATTAGGGGTTGGAGGAGGCCTCATAGGGGACCCACAGCAGCGTGGGAGCCCCAGAGCCAGTAAGGATGCTGCGTACGGGGTACATAGACCCCAGCGCCAGAGAGGGGCGGTTGAGAAGCCCTAGTGCGAGCGTGGCGAGCCCCAGAGAAGGGGACAGCTTACCGGCGAGCCCCGAGAGAGGGCTGCATTATTGGAGAGCCCCGAGAGAGGGCAGTTTGACTGAGAAGGCCCAGTGCAGCCACAGAGAGCCCTAGGAGTGGGTGGTTTGACTGAGAAGGCCCAGTGCGGCCACAGAGAGCCCCAGGAGAGGGGCGGCATTCTTGAGAAGGCCCAGTGTGGCCGCGGAGAGCCCCAGGAGAGGGGCGGCATTGTGGAGAAGGCCCGAAGAGAGGGCAGCAGTCCTGAGAAGGCCCTAGAGAAGGGGGTAGCTTCTTGAGAAGGCCCACAGTGGGCACGGAGAGCCCCAGGACGGGGCGGCAGTACCAAGAAGGCCCAAGAGATGGGCGTGAGTGTAGACAGAGAGACCGAACAATGTCTATTCCAACTGCGAGGCTTGGGGTGTGGTATAAGAGGTGGTTGGAGCCACTAGTAGCCCCTAAGGCTAGGGTGCCCCTGAAGCGCCCATCATAGAGTGAGAACCCATAAGGGGCCCAGGAAACCACGGGGTCTGAACGAACACCAAGAAGTGACCAAGAGGGCGTAAGGCAGCCTCCCAAACTTATCTAAACATCAAAGACGTGGCGGGCGAGAATCAGAGGGTGCCCTTGGGCCAACTTGGCACGGAGGAAGGGGCCTTAAGGAGATCACGGCCCTCCTGAAGGACCCCGCCCCTGACAATGTATTAAAAGAAAGTTTAACTCCAACTTGTAAATGTAATGTAAAGGGCCGATCATAAACCTAAGCATTTGGTCTAAAAGCAAACAACCACATTTGTCTTTGGAAAACAAAGCAGTTTGGGGTAGAAATGCATTTTCTCAAAGAATAGAGGTTTTAGGAATGTGTTATTGAAAGCCATAAGCTACAATCTAAAAAATGGGCTTTTCCCCCCTCACCATCCTGAACGAGAGGCTTCTATTCTGTTACAGAGAGAGACTGGTTTTGTGTGAAGAACTTCTGTTTTGTTATGGGTATAGACTAGTTTCTGATCACTTAGGCCAGGTACAGAGATTACCTTTTTCATGGTATATGTATGACAGCAGAGTACTTAAACCAGTTTGAAGCAGAACTTGAATTTTTATTAAGCCCTGATGAAACTCAAAAGATATCAGAATGGATTGAACAGAAAAGATGTTCAATAAAATGTCCTACCACAAAGATGAAAGCAGTAGTATTATCAGTCAAAAAGTTCTCAAATGAGACAAAATTATTTGATGCACAGTGTGAAACAGTCAGCTTTCCCTCCACAATATGAAATTTCTTTATATCTGCACTTCTAAAAGTATTGACATGTAAAAACCAGGGGTCAAAAAAAAAAAAAAAAAAAAAATCACTCCTAGCTGTAGGCACTGCTATGAGTGCTGTGTTCAAGAACTGAAACTGCTGCAGCCCATAGGTAAAAAATGGGATGTCACCCTTATTATTGCTTTCCTTGCAGTAGTAGATTTATTGAGCACAACTTGTTATGTGTATTCATAGTCTTTCAGCCAAATTCTGTCCTTATGTTACACCATATGTAACCCACAAGGATCCGAGAGTTTCTTGTGGATCTGTGTGAGAATGAGGGCAAAATATTTAGTTTTTAAATAGATTTCCCTTGAATTACTGTATACACATCTAGGATTTTGTTTATATTATCACAGGAATATTATGGTCTCTAAACTTCCATTGGCAGATCATGACTTACAACTAACCAACCACTTTATAGCCACTTAAAATAATCTCCCTTGCATGTAAATAGCAAGATCCTACAGTTTAATGGATACATATATATACAGGAAACATTTCAGTGATGTCAATAATAATGCTTCTCTAGGTAGAGTTACTTTCAAGTACTAAGTATTTTTAAGGTCAGGCCCAACCAGAATTATCCAATAGAATCTGTTCCTGTGAATCCCATCCTTCCACAAAACTCTGAAAAGGCAGGCTGGTGGGAGAAATGTCTATTTAGAGATCCTTTCTAGGAAAGGCTTAGTTGGCTAAAGCACTGCATGGTGGTAGAACCATTCAAAAATGATTCTATTATGCCTTTATTCTGAATAGCTTTTTGATACATTATGTGCAGTTAAAATACTTTCTCCCTTTTCACAAGATTCAGCAAGGATCTTTTTATGTACACCTAACTGAGGCTACTAAAACATACCTAATGTGCAGCCACCCATGATCTTTTAGCTGTAATGAAATATGAGCTTTCCCTTCAGGCATTAAAGTCAACTTAACTCAAGACAAAACACCAAAAACTGTTTGTTGGAAACTCCTTGTAACCTGCAACCTCTGCACAGAACCATTTCCTTGCCCTTAGTATTTGTGTCTGTGTGAATGCATATGTTGCAGTGGTATAAGTTATAAAGTAGAGAAGCTACCTAGCAGAAGGCTGAAGAAATTGGGAATTAAGAGGTGGTCCCTCAGGCAACATCTAATTAGTTAGATATTCACTTTTAGTTAGTAAATTAGAACAGATACAGACATTACATTTTTACCAGTATAAGTGTTTGGAAACTGGTCCCTACCCATAACAGAACAGAAGTTTGGCACTCACATAGACTGATTTAAAAAAATGGTGGAACCCAGTTTAAGATTTACCACCAAAGGGCAAATTTGTGTTCTGTTTACTACCGATCTAAACTATGCTGTTTATAGAAAACTGAGTAACTTAGATTCCACCTCAGGCTTTTTGAATGTCTGTACATAGCCTTAGTGAGAGCCAGACAGGAACTGCAGGAGTTGCACACTTGTCCAGAATAAAATCTGTTGAGTTGTTCTTATTCATGCATACCTGTGTTCAGCTGAACCCAGTGATCACTCTGTGTGTGTGTGTGTGTGTGTGTGTAAGAGAGAGATTTTATCTTAGCAGCTTTTGGGCACTGCTGACCAGAGGAGTAACTTTAAATTTTGGTGATTGAGGTGGTACAGGGGAAGGAACGCTCACCTTTTTCTGAAGACTGCAGCATCATGGGGTGCTGCTCCCAACATGGGCTGTGGTAGCAGCACAGGCTCCTTTGGGGGCTGCCATTCTGCCCCCCTGCCCTTGAATCAGCACCTGGGTGTAGTGTCCCGTTTGCCCCACCCTAAGTTGTCCTGTTCC